TTATGAACAAGTCAAACAGTGCAGGTCTCAAAGCAGACCTGTAGAATACCTCACTGCTTCCCTTCTATTCTGAAAACTCTCGTTTTACGTCTACTCTATTTTATGTTCTATACCCAGACACTGTTCCATTAGAGGATAATTCTAAAAGGTTGCTACGGCAGGACTTCTGTTTGCAGAAGCTATGTGGATTTTCCCTCAGCATCTCGTTTTCCTAATGCTATTTTTGCCAATCTGTTTGTGGCAGAATCTACTTTATTTATTTCAGACATTTATATGCCACTTAATATTCAGAATTTCGCCTGCTACTTACATAACCATAAAACATACATGCAAGAGGTTTTTTAAAAGGAAGCCTTCCTGCCTGTTATAGCTTCCTTGAATTGAGTAAATCACAATTACAATTTCTCAGGTTCATTTGTGCATTTTTCCTGTGGGATACATTTAATTGGAGTTTCTATTACAATGCTTTTTAAATAACCTCCTGGCAGTACTTGCTACTTCCTATGATGGGATAGGTGGGAGCAAGGTCTATACAGGCCCAGTATACCTGAAGGAGTGTCTCCACCCCCACTGTCCAGCCCGGACACTGAGGTCCAGCTCCGAGGGCCTTTTGGCGGCTCTCTCATTGCGAGAAGTGGGGTTACAGGGAAGCAGGCAGAGGGCCTTCTCGGTAGTCGCTCCTGCCTTAAGGAATGCCCTCCCATCAAATGTCCAGGAAATAAACAACTATCTGACTTTTAAAAGACATCTGAAGGCAGCCCTGTTTAGGGAAGTTTTAAATGTTCAATGTTTTACTGTGTCTGATGCTTTAATTTTTTGGAAGCCGCCCAGAGTGGCTGGGGCCACCCAGATGATCAGCATACAAATAATAATTTGGTGTCGGCATCTCTTCCTTAACTTTGTTTTAACCAATCCTCTCTTCTTCTTAGAAGTGTCTTCTTTTAACATCAAATTCTACGTCGACACAACTTTTCGCCTACAAATATGTTCAATTTGATAGCACCAGATAGGCTTCCCTCCTGGTTGACTTCCCTGTTCTAAGGCACAGTCACTTACTGTATGAAAATGTCTCTTTCCTGCAGCCTAGATGTACATTTACCCTGCCAATGCAAGCATGCTTCAAGTCACCCATTATGAAATATTTCCCCCCTTGTCTACCTATTAGCATTTCCCCCCACTATGAGTTTGGGTGGATTCAGGCAGCAACTGTGTGGATGGTACCCAATGAGTTCCATCTGCAAAATGGAAGGAAATACTTAGTAATTTTTCCTCTTCCGTACCTCTCTAGATTTGTTATAAATTCAAAACAGATTTAGGGGGATGCAAGGGTCTTTCTTTCATAGTAACTTGTCCTGAAGACTGAAATTTTACTATCACCATTTCTGGACATCTTTCATTTGCCCCTGTTGCCACCCTCATGTTAGCCACTTCTACAGAAACCAGAACTCACTCTTTTTGCCTTTACTAGATGAGCTGTCATAGTCACTTGACTCTATCTGCTTCTCTTTCAAGTCAGCTTCAAACCGGGCGAGATCCGTGTCCAGTCGCCGGATGTGCTTATCTACCTGCAGACACGGTAAGAGGGGGAGAGCGTTATTTTTGAGGTAATATGTCCCCAACCACCAAGAGAGCAAAGACTTATACAAAGGCAAAGAGAATGGCAGCAGAAAGCAACTGCCCAAAGAGATACAATTCTGCTTGGATGAAGGCTCTTCACAAAGACTGTCCAAAAAGCCCCACCTCATCAGGCCCCCTCGTACCATCTCATACGTCTGCATTGCGAGCTGCACTTTGTCGTCGCCAAACTCCTTGCACTTCCCATAGGCCTCTTGGATCTGCTTGAGGAGCCCCAGTTTCTCCTCTGAAGACAACGTCCGCGCATTACTGATATATTCTGTGGCCAGTTTATCAATCTCTGATTTGAGATCTGAAAGGAAAAGTAGGGTGCAGCATTATAGCAGACCACTCCGGCATGACACCAAACAGAAAGGGATACGAACACCAGGTTTATTTGTTCTTCATGTGTGTCAAAGAAGACTTACATAGTCAATCTCAATCAGCAGAGGCTTTGCAGACTTACCTTCTGTTCGTTGGTCCAGGTCTCTCATGAGCTGGAAGTTTCTCTGCAGCTCAAAGGGCAAATTCTCAATGCCTAGAGAAAGAGGGAAAGTGTGAGATGGAGAAGAAGATCAGCTTGGTGGGGACCTGCCTGTGTTACTTCTTTCCTACACCTTCATTTATACTTTTTTTTAACTGTATGCTCAACATTAACTCCATGTTGACTGAATAGCTACAGGGTGAATTTTACACCATTTAAAGCCAAGTAGCTGCATCACGGGAAGCGGGTGGCGCTGTGGGTTAAACCACAGAGCCTAGGACTTGCCGGTCAGAAGGTCGGCGGTTTGAATCCCCGCGACGGGGTGAGCTCCCGTTGCTCGGTCCCAGCTCCTGCCAACCTAGCAGCTCGAAAGCACGTGAAAGTGGAAGTAGATAAATAGGTACCGCTCCAGCGGGAAGGTAAACGGTGTTTCTGTGCACTGCTCTGGTTTGCCAGAAGCGGCTTAGTCATGCTGGCCACATGACCCGGAAAAACTGTCTGCGGACAGACGCCAGCTCCCTTGGCCAGTAAAGCGAGATGAGCGCCGCAACCCTAGAGTCGGTCACAACTGGACCCAATGGTCAGGGGTCCCTTTACCTTTACCTGTATTACAAGAGAAAGAAAGGGCCACTTCTTGTGTTAACAAACTCAGGTTTCCTAACCAAACATATACTTGAAATGAAGCTGCAGCCAATTTCGGCTCTTTGACTAGCATACTCATACGATACCCACATTTACCTCAACCATATTTTACATTTGTATGTGCACACCTTAAAACACATTTGTTTATTTACTTCACGAGACTTGACCGCAATAAAACATCAAAGCATTTAAAAAAAGAACAGGACAATAACATTATCAGTAAATAACAATGATCTTAAACATTCAAAAATGCTTAAAATAAATGATAAGCTAAAAAACAGATTAAAACACATGCCAATACAGTGGCACCACAGGATGCGAACGGGATCCGTTCCAGAGTCCCGTTCGCATCCTGAAGTAAACGCAACCTACGACTGCGCGTGTTGCAATTCGCCACTTCGGTGCATGCTTGCGCGCGCGCACACACACACACATTAACCAACTGCAATGGTGGTTGTGTGTGTGCTTTTTGTAAAGCGGGTGTTTGTGTCCAGCAATATCTGAGTGCACTACCATATTTTAAGCAGGGCAGAGCCAAACTGTGGATGTGGGAAGAGGAGGGAGGGGCTGTGGAATTTGCAAACATTATTACATTTAAATTTCACCAATGCCAATATCAAGCAGTTCCTTTCTTCCACCCTTCCTTCTGGGGGGTTGAAAAATAGAATGAGGGCTAAACTCAAACAGACAACGCACCCGAAGGGAAGGAACTGGAACCACGGAGCACATTGAGGGATTAAGCCGCAGCGCCCTGTTAAAAAGGAACCAGGGCGAACCCGGGTCGGCTGCTGCCGTAACGTGTGAACTGACCCACACGTAGGAATACGAGGTCCCTCGACCCCCCCCTCCCCCGACTGCGGGCTTTCGGGGCCTCTGCCGCCTCCCGGGAGCCGCCTGCGCCGCCTGCCTCGAGCCGCGTCCCGCCCGAGCCCCGCGCCCGCTCTTACTGTCTAGGTAGTGCTCCAGGTACATCCCCGCCGCCATCTTGGGTTCCAGCCAAGCGCACGGGCTCTTTCCCCTCCCGCCGGCTCCGCCCACCTTGGCTTCGCTTCCGCCCTTAACAGGAGCAGCTTCCTGTTTTCGGCAGAGGCACTTCCGGCCCCTCTAGGCCGGGTGGCTTCCGCTCGCTTCCCAGCTCGCCTCCCCTTAGTCCTCCGCTGCAAAGGGAGCTCGACTGGGAGGCAGCCATTGCGTTTCAAATAGATCCAGACCACCAGTCCACTTCTTCAAGCCTATGGCTTGGGGGAAAGACATGTCTGGCTGGTGAGCCAGGATCTTGGAGTGTCTCCTTCCCCTCAGTGACAAGCATTTCCAACGACAACTACAAATTTATGCGAGTTTTATACCAATTTAACAGGGTTCCCCCCCCAGAGAATCCTGGGAATCGTAGTGTTTTCTTTTTTGGGGGGTGAAATATACTCGGAGTCGAGAGTGCATTTCATGCTCTTTATTCAGCTCATAGTGGTGAGGAGGAATGGAAGTTCCTCCACAATATCTGCTTTATATACATTATTTAACACAATGGGCTGCACGTGATTGGCTAATTCCGGGATTCTCCTGTAGGCCAATCAGGTTGTGGATTCACTTCCACCTGGAGCTGGATTGGGTGGTTCCTGCGGACCAATCATACTGCTGCATGGTTCTAGGACCAATCAGGCTGCTGCATTCTGAATCCTATTGTTCTAGGACCAATCAGACTGCTGCATTTTGGATCCTGTTCTAGGACCAATCAGACTGCTGCATTTTGGATCCTGTTCTAGGACCAATCAGACTGCTGCATTTTGGATCCTCTTCAACTCAGTACATAACGGGGCGGGTGGGGGGCTGATAATTTTTCACAAAACTGCAGTTTCAATGGTTCCTAGCAGGAGAAAGAATGGCAGCTAACTGCCTTAAAAATAGCCCTGGGTGTAACATGGATTCAGACAAAACAGGAAGCACAAGTGTTTCATATCTGCTGTTATTCTGCCCTCTGCAATCACTGGCTTGTCCAAACTTTTGTATCCTCTGTGTGTGGGAGATACATATTGGGAACTTGAGCGTTTTCTGGGCTCGATGGTGGAAAGCAAACACTATATTCCAGTTGCAAATGAAGTGCAGACGATTGGTAAGGCACTGGTGTTCTTCCATATCAATGCCACACCACAAAGCTCCTCCCAAACAAGATGACAGTCTTGCAGTTTCAGTTATTTAGGGCACATTTGACCCACTTAGGAGAAGGCCAAACAATATAGCTAATGAAAATTCTTACATCATTCTGTATTTTTGAAGCATTTATTTACAAATAATTTTCCTTTTCTTCACGCTTTTATATTTAATACACATGAACAACACCAAGAACAGTGCGATGTAGAACCACAGAAAGCAGCACGGGAAAAACTTATGTACACAGCAGGAAATGGATCATAAGACAAGGTGGACAGAACAAGAAGGACACAAATACTTTCCTCCATGGAGCTTCACAGGCACACAAAAATTCCTGAAAGTATTTCCCCAAAGCCAAATAAATTAGAGGCTCCAGTACACACAGGATTCTTTCTGCCCTCATTTCCTTATATATAGGTTAAAAGAGGTTCAAGTAGACCAGGGTCTCCAGAATACCTGGGACCCTGTTCTGTTCAGGATCCCAGAAGGGACAGACCTTTCAAAACACCTAAAGCCAGGGGAAGCCAGGCACTTTTCACTCCAGCTGGAGACCTTTCCTAGCTTAGATGCGGGTGGAGAAATTGCCAGTGAAGTCCCAGAGGGGCGTCTGGATGAAGAGCTTGACTGACTGACAGCATTCAGATACCGCTGTGTCTCTGAAATGAGGAAGGCTTGGACAAGAGAGGCACAGTAGGAGTATCCTGTATGAAAGCCCTTGTCCTCTGCCACTGTGGAGAGAAAAAGAACATACAAAGGAGAGATGAAAGGAGAGAGGCAACTCAAGCATCCATCAAATGTATGCATCTGCATGTCTTGAGGAGAAAGGGGCCTGGGGTATAAGCTGTGTGATTTCCTTTAACTTAATCTGATCCCCCCACAGTAGGCTGCCAGGAATAGACAGAGAAGGAGAGTTCTTACCAATGTATTTTATTCAACATTCACAGAGAGTGGCTTAGAAATGCAACCTCTTGGAGTAATGGCATTACTCCAAGTAATCTCCACCCCCCCTTCTCTCCTCAGTTGTCAACAGCACCACCCACCTGATGGTGGCCGCTTAGCGTCATTTGCCTCTGAGGCCTTTGCTCTCCTACTTTCAATGCTCACCGGGTTCTGGGAGAAGGGGGTCTGGAATGCTTTCTAGTGATAACATGTCAGCCAGCTGCTTTGGCTCTGCCTTCTCCTCCTCTTCTCCCATTATTTCCCAGCTTCTCCCCTCTTCTGCCTCTGAGCTATGACCTCCCGCAAACCACTGTTGCAAATCTATACTGTCTTCCTCTTCTCTGAAAGGTTCAGGCTGGGGAGGCAGTCTCCGCCATTCCTCCACTGTCCAGTCCCTTCTGATCTTGCTTTTGGCTACATACCCTTGGGTCTTGGTTTGCAGCAACTTCTTGACCTTAACTCTCACAGATGAAAGTACAGTGGTGCCCCGCAAGACGAATGCCTCGCAAGACGAAAAACCCGCAAGACGAAAGGGTTTTCCGTCGCAGAGGCGCTTCGCAAGACGAAGTTCCCTATGGGCTTGCTTCGCAAGACAAAAACGTCTTGCGAGTCTTGCCATTTCCCCCCCACTCCCCCCCTTTTTTCAAAGCGGCTAAACTGTTAATAGCCTTTTAACAGCTTAGCCGCTAAGCCTGCTAAGCCGCTAATAGCGCTAATCCGCTTAGCCGCCAATGGGGTTGCTTCGCAAGACGAAAAAACCGCTAGAAGAAAAGAATCGCGGAACGGATTCTTTTCGTCTTGCGAGGCACCACTGTATGTGGGTAATGCCAGCGGAAGTATCAGAAACCAGAGAGGATGACTGAAGATTAATAATAATAATAATAATAATTTATTATTTATACCCCGCCCATCTGATCTGGCTGGGCCTCCCCAGCCACTCTGGGCGGCTTCCATAGAAACCAAAAATACACTAAAATATCACACGTTAAAAACTTCCCTGAACTTCCCTTAAGATGTCTTCTGAATGTCAGGTAGTTGTTTATCGCTTTGACATCTCGTGGGAGGGCGTTCCACAGGGTGGGTGCTACTACCGAGAAGGCCCTCTGCCTGGTTCCCTGTAGCTTTGCTTCTCGCAATGAGGGAACCGCCAGAAGGCCCTCGGCGCTGGACCTCAGCGTCTGGGCAGAACGATGGGGGTGGAGACGCTCCTTCAGGTATACTGGGCCGAGGCCGTTTAGGGCTTTCAAGGTCAGCACCAACACTTTGAATTGTGCTCGGAAACGTACTGGGAGCCAATGTAGGTCTTTCAAGACCGGTGTTATATGGTCTCGGCGGCCGCCCCCAGTCACCAGTCTAGCTGCCGCATTCTGGATTAGTTGTAGTTTCCGGGTCACCTTCAAAGGTAGCCCCACGTAGAGCGCATTGCAGTAGTCCAAGCGGGAGATAACCAGAGCATGCACCACTCTGGCGAGACAGTCCGCAGGCAGATAGGGTCTCAGCCTACGTACCAGATGGAGCTGGTAAACAGCTGCCCTGGACACAGATTTGACCTGTGCCTCCATGGACAGCTGTGAGTCCAAAATGACTCCCAGGCTGCGCACCTGGTCCTTCAGGGGCACAGTTACCCCATTCAGGACCAGGGAATCCTCCACACCTGCCCGCCTCCTGTCCCCCAAGAACAGTACTTCTGTCTTGTCAGGATTCAACCTCAATCTGTTAGCCGCCATCCATCCTCCAACCGCCTCCAGACACTCACACAGGACCTTCACCGCCTTCACTGGTTCTGATTTAAAAGAGAGGTAGAGCTGGGTATCATCCGCATACTGATGAACACCCAGCCCAAACCCCCTGATGATCTCTCCCAGTGGCTGCATGTAAATGTTGAAAAGCATGGGGGAGAGGACCGAACCCTGAGGCACCCCACAAGTGAGGGCCCAGGGGTCTGAACACTCATCCCCCACCACCACTTTCTGAACACGGCCCAGGAGGAAGGAGCGGAACCACCGTATGACAGTGCCCCCAGCTCCCAGCCCCTCAAGACGGTCCAGAAGGATGTTATGGTCGATGGTATCAAAGGCCGCTGAGAGATCCAGCAGATTTCAATTGGTCTTGCGTAGCTTAACAGAGCCAAATGAGAGAAATTATGCAGATTTGCCCATTCACATCATTTATACAGGCTGCAGAATTCATCTTGCTTGGCTGCATACTTTTAATTATTTTAAGCGAAGAATTGTGATTATAGGCTGTAATGATCTGAATCCTGCTCCATTTACCTCCTGGCAGGCCCACCTGCAATCTAGATAAAATTTTGTAATATGTGCCTAGTGAACTCAATCCTTAAGCAACTTAAGTGATTCTCTGAGGCACTTCACTTGTTATTATTGTTATAATTATAATTATGGCTTTTCTATTCCACCTTTCTTCCAATGAACTCAAAGTGGCATTCGTGACTCTCCCTCAGTCCTATGAGGTAGGTTAGGCTGAGAGATGGTGACTGGACCAAGGTCACCCAGTGAGCTGCATATCTGAGCGGAGATTTGAACACTGGGACTCAGCTACATTAGTCAAAAAAAGTGTTTTGAATGTGTTACAAACATGCAACACCAGATGGCGCTGGGGAGCCAAAAAATATCTTTCCCCCCTTTTGTTATCATGACTGAATTTCTGACTTATTTATAGTGGGTTTTTCCTGTGTGTAGATCCACTCCTGGTCTCCACCCTAACCATCACACCCAACTCGCTCCATGTTATCCATCTTCACTATGGTACATTGCAATAAGCCATTCCGACCTACAACTCACCTGCTAGCTGCAATGTTTGAATCCGCTGCACAGTCATTTCTAGAAGAGCTGCCTTGTCCATGCGAGAATTAGGAAGAGGCTTTTGGGAGGGAAAAAAAGAGGATAACTGGAGACTGGCTTGGAACCGGGCAGAAGTGGGCATTGCAAGAGGAGAAAGAAGAAAATTTGGCATGGACAGGAACTACTCTCAAATGAACAAAGAGAGCTGGTAATTCGAAGAAACTATTATTCAGTGAACTTGGAGGGACATCTGCATCACAGATTGAAATCACTTTAAATTTCACAGTCCCCTATGGAAGCATCATGGGAATGGTAATTCCTAATAAGAAGGCAGGGATATCTGATTTAAAACATTCTCAGCACACTCCATGAAACTACAGCTCTGAAGGTTTTTTGAAGGTAGTTCAATGCACCGTATTTTTCGCTCTATACGATGCACCAGACCACAAGACGCACCTAGTTTTTGGAGGAGGAAAACAAGAAAAAAAATATTCTGAATCTCAGAAGCCAGAACAGCAAGAGGGATCGCTGCGCAGTGAAAGCAGCAATCCCTCTTGCTGTTCTGGCTTCTGGGATAGCTGCGCAGCCTGCACTCGCTCCGTAAGACGCACACACATTTCCCCTTACTTTTTAGGAGGGAAAAAGTGAGTCTTATAGAGCAAAAAATATGGTAAGTTTTCTAGTGTGGTGTCTCAAAAGTGAATGAAATGAGACTATCTTCCCGCAACTCATATTGCATTTTCTTTTACTGGAACTTTTCTCCCAAACTGTCATTTGAACGCTGGGAGAGAGTGTCCTATACTCCAAGCTTCAAATTGTGAGCCTTTGGGTTTTGCATTTCGCTGCACTGATATCCAGCATGTTACCCAGTGGGATTGTTTGTCTTCAGAATACAGAAAAAAGAAAGATCTTTTTGTGTAGGTGCTGCCTGGCAGGAAGGAATAGGAGGAACCTATATCTGCACGACAAACCTCTTTCAGTGTCATACCAATTTAACTCTGCTGGCTTCCCTAAAAGAATACTTTGCAGTTTGATGAGAGTGCTAAGAATTCTCCCTTATATCCTTAAGCTCGGCTTACACAACTATACTTCTCAGGGATCCTGAGAGAAAGAGGGAGAGAATATGAAGAAACAAGTTTATTCTGCCACTGAAGACAGTTCGGAAACTTCAGCTGGTGCAGAATTCAGCAGCCAGGTTGCTCACCGGAGCAAGATGGTTTGAGCATATTACACTGATCCTGGTCCGACTGCACTGACTACCGATTAGTTTCTGGGCCCAATTTAAAGTACAGTGGTTCCTTGGTTCTCAAATGCCTTGGTTCTCAAACGCCTTGGTTCCCAAACACCGAAAACCCAGAAGTAAGTCTTCTGGTTTCCAAACGTTTTTCGGAAGCCGAACGTCCGATGTGGCTGTCGGCTATTGTTTCTGGGGCGCCTGCACCAATCAGCACCTTGGTTTTCAAACATTCCGGAAGTCCGTTTGACAGATTAAGTTTGGCACTTTTGTTTTTGCTATTTATTTGCGTTTTTGCTTTTTGAGGCTTTTTCGGTTAATTTGTTTTTGGGACTGTGTGGAACCCAGTTCAGCTGCTGAGTGATTGTGTGACTGCAGAAATGGATAAAAGCCCCCATCCAGATCATGACAGTGCAGGTAAGAAAAACAATTACTTTAAATTTTTATCATCTACAATACTGGCTTATTTTATAGTACAACACATTGATTATTGCTTTCATTTTATGGATCAATGGCCTCGTTAGTAAAATTCATGTTAAATTGCTATTTTAGGGGTTGTTTTTAAAAGTCTGGAATGGATTAATCCGCTTTGCATTACTTTGTATGGGGAAGCACGCCTTGGTTTTGGAACGGACTTCCGGAAAAGATTAATTTTGAGAACCAAGGTACCACTGTACTGGTTTTGATCTATAAAGCCTTAAACAGCTCAGGACTGCAATACTTCAAGGACTGCCTCTCCCCATATGAACCTACCCAGACCCTTCTGAGGCCCTAATAATAATAATAATAATAATAATAATAATAATAATAATAATAATTTGTTTATACCTCGCCCATCTGGCTGAGTTTCCCCAGCCACTCTGGGCAGCTCCCAATCAAGTGTTAAAAACAGTACAGCATTAAATATTAAAAACTTCCCTGAACAGGGCTGCCTTCAGATGTCTTTTAAAGATAGGATAGCTGCTTATTTCCTTCACATCTGAAGGGAGGGTGTTCCACAGGGCGGACGCCACTACCGAGAAGGCCCTCTAACTGGTTCCATGTACAGTGGTGCCCCGCAAGACGAATGCCTCGCAAGACGAAAAACTCGCTAGACGAAAGGGTTTTCCGTTTTTTGAGTCGTTCCGCAAGACGGATTTCCCTATGGGCTTGCTTTGCAAGACGAAACGTCTTGCGAGTTCTTGCGAGTTTGTTTCCTTTTTCTTAAAGCTGCTAAGCCGCTAAGGCGCTAATAGCCGTGCTTCGCAAGACGAAAAAACTGCAAGACGAAGAGACTCGCGGAACGGATTAATTTCGTCTTGCGAGGCACCACTGTAACCTCACTTCTCGCAATGAGGGAACCGCCAGAAGGCCCTTGGCGCTGGACCTCAGTGTCCGGGCAGAACGATGGGGGTGGAGACGCCTTCAACGCCTGTCTCTGCCTTCAACGTGTGCCTCCTCCATGAGAGGTCCTGTGGGTGGCAGCACGAGAACGGGGCCTTTTCTGCAGTGGCTCCCTGTTTGTGAAATGCTCTCCCCAGGGAGGTTTACCAGGCACCTTCATTATACACCTTTAGGCTCCAGGCAAAAAGGTTCCTCTTTAGCCAGACCTTTGGCTGATTGACATCCGATGCCCTTTTTAAATGTGTTGGGGAGGAGGGTTATTGTGTTGTTGGTTTTATTATGAATTTTGTGTTTGTATCTTCTAATTTTATGTTGCAATAGCCCTGAGACATGCAGGTATAGAGCGGCATACAAATTTAATAAATAATAATAAAGTGAAAAGTTGAAGCTTATCATGTTAGATACATACAGAAGCTTGATGGTGGATGCCCTCTCATCCCCAGTGGGATGTGTTATTATGGGTTATGGGGAGACACCAAACGTGGCTCCTTACCTTGTTACCTGGGCTGGGGCCACCTAGTAAGAGAGCCTTCAGTTGGTTGAGAGACTGGGCAATTCGATTCCTTCGCTTCTTCTCCATTAGCGGTTTGATGATCTGCAGATGAAGAATTCCTGCATCACTAGAGGAATTGACTAGGAAGCTGTTTGTCGTGCTAGGCAAGGACAAAAGGCGGAAGAGAAGAACTGGGGAACAGGGGGAGCAGTTGACCAAAGCTGCCCCAAAACACTGAAGTGCCTGAATCAGAAAATCCAAATAATATCCCCTCTCACTAATTTTTTATTACTTTTTTATTGATTTTCAAAAACAAAACAAAATTAAAGTTAAACTTTAACATTCAACCTTTTTAATCTTATTTACCCTGCGCAATTTCGCGCCCGGACTTCCCTCCTTCCCTGCTTCGGTTTTCCCAATTTACATCCATTCCTGCAGATTCTTAATTACATTCTATATACATCACAAGATTTATGTTAGCCCTGCTACAATTTTTAAACTTCTACAGTTATTTCGTATATACACAACAAATTTACTCCACTCCTCTTCAAACTTTGTCACTTTTTGGTATCAAATTTTATAACTCATTTTTGCCAATTCAGTATACTCGAATAATTTCGTCTGCCACTCCATTAGGGTTGGTAACTCTTGGGATTTCCACTTTTGGGCCACAAGAATCCTTGCGGCAGTCGTGGCATACAAGAATAATTTGCAGTCTTTTCTCACTTCATCTCCTATTATCCCTAATAAAAAAGCCTCTGGATACTTTGGGAATGTATATTTGAAATTTCATGTCATTGTATATCATATCCCAAATCCCCTCTCACTAATTAACATGGGTACGCAGTTGGGTGGGAAGTTCCCCCAAGTAATCCCCACCGAAGTAAACCGGAGATGCACAAGATCACAGCCTCACTCTTTCTCAACTGTTCATTTCAATGGGGATTGCAGTGAATATCCTGCAGAACTGCACCTGTTGCTCAGTTCTGTCTCCCTCCGTCTCTGCCTTCCTTACAACCACGTCAGCCCATACTTAACCCACCTCCAGACCTTTGCCAACACAGCTTCTCTCTCACTCTCTTTCCTTTTGCATGTACCTTTTTGTAGACCAGACGTTTTGGCTGTTCCAGATGTGGTTTCTTCCAGCTGCATTCCCTGGGTGCCCCTGTCGTCATCCATGAAGCTTTTCTATCTGCCGCCTCCAGGCTCATCTTGTCTCTCCGAGAATATTTTCAAATTTCCCTCCTTCTGCCCTCCCTTTAATTTATAGGGCACCCCCAGCACAGCTGTCACATTGTCTGCAAATCCTATTTACTCGCTCCTCAACAGAGGCAGCCAATGAACAGCTACAGAATCCTATTGGTCTTTCTGAGGGGAGGAGTGTGATGGTCTCTAGGAAGCCAGCCTGCACTCCAATCAACTCTCCAGAAGAGAGCCGGGAGGGAATTTTAAAAGGGGATTTCATTTCAGGCCGGCCAGCTGCTCCTTTCGGGACAGGGTGGGGGAATAAAAAGCATGAAGAGGGTGAATAGAGACTGGGCCAGAGGAGAGGAAGCTATTGAGATGGAAATGAGGGCAACAGAAGGTAGATGTGTGTTTTGCTGGATGGTGTGTGTGTTGGCAGCTGCGCTTGGGGTGAGAGGGAGACTTTGAAATACCAACACAACTCTGCTCAGGCAGAACAATCAGACCCTCCACTTAGCTTTGTAGGGTTGCCGGGGCAATGTGAGGCAGCCTTCACCTCTCAAACCGGGTTCTTTGTGAAAGGAATAGGCAGCAGAAGAATGTGTCATCACCCCATTCTTTTCCTAAGTAGCAGGCGGTGCAGACAGAAATGGGCCAACACAGGCAAAACATAACTTATATGTTTTCTAGAATGATCCAGGATGCCATTGCATGCTCATATCTCTCACCAGCCACAGGCTTGCAGGGATTTCTGGCTGAGAACTTAAAAGAGCTGCTGACTTTGAGAATAGAGCGTTCTGGGCCGGATCAGCCTTTGGTTCGGTTTCAGTACAAGGAGCTATCATCGAATGCTCAGGATAATGTCAGAGAGGAAGGATCAGCTAAACATAAAATGGAGGCAGAGAGATAGCAGGAGCAACCAAATTCTTCTCTTTCATGATTCATGGCTATGGTGTTATTCAACATCCCTATAAAGCTCTAATATGCAAAATTCAAAAAGATTTGAGCTTCGCATTTAATCCGTAATGCGTGTTCTGAGCGTGTGTGTGTGTTTGCACTGTGCACGTGAAATCCTTGGTAAAACAGAGAGGTTCAGAGCTGTTTCCAGAGGAAGAGCCATGAGGGGAGAGAGTCAGTGTTGGTCAGCAGATAGCTTTTCCCATCTGGCTTGCCCCATCCTCCAGCCCTAGCAGCCTTCAGAAGGGAGCTGTTTCCAGAGGAAGAACTGTGAGGGGAGAAGGAGACACTGTTTGCCACCAGGGGGTGGTTGGTTTCACCAGGGCTGCCAAACCTTCCGCCCGAGGAACCTTCAGAAGGCAGTTGCTGCCACAGGCATTGTGTGTATGTGTATTTCAATGAGCTGAATAGAGTGAAAGATTGTTGTTGTTGTTGTTTAGTCGTGTCCGACTCTTGGTGACCCCATGGACCAGAGCATGCCAGGCACTCCTGTCTTCCACTGCCTCCTGCAGTTTGGTCAAACTCATGTTCGTAGCTTCGAGAACACTGCCCAACCATCTCGTCCTCTGTCGTCCCCTTCTCCTTGTGCCCTCCATCTTTCCCAACATCAGGGTCTTTTCCAGGGAGTCTTCTCTTCTCATGAGGTGGCCAAAGTCTTGGAGCCTCAGCTTCAGGATCTGTCCTTCCAGTGAGCACTCAGGGCTGATTTCCTTCAGAATGGAGAGGTTTGATCTTCTTGCAGTTCATGGGACTCTCAAGAGTCTTCTCCAGCACCAGAATTCAAAAGCATCCATTCGTCGGCGATCAGCCTTCTTTATGGTCCAGCTCTCACTTCCATACATCACTACTGGGAAAACCATAGCTTCAACTATATGGACTTTTGCTGGCAAGGTGATGTCTCTGCTTTTTAAGATGCTGTCTAGGTTTGTCATTGCTTTTCTCCCAAGAAGCAGGTGTCTTTTAATTTCGTGACTGCTGTCACCATCTGCAGTGATTATGGAGCCCAAAAAAGTAAAATCTCTCACTGCCTCTATTTCTACCCCTTCTATTTGCCAGGAGGTGATGGGCCCAGTGGCCATGATCTTTTTTGATGTTGAGCTTCAGACCATATTTTACGCTCTCCTCTTTCACCCTCATTAAAAGGTTCTTTAATTCCTCCTCACTTTCTGCCATCAAGGTTGTGTCATCTGCATATCTGAGGTTGTTGATATTTCTTCCTGCAATCTTAATTCCAGCTAGGGATTCATCCAGCCCAGCCTTTCGCATGATGAATTCTGCATATAAGTTAAATAAGCAGGGAGACAATATACAGCCTTGCCGTACTCCTTTCCCAATTTTGAACCAATCAGTTGTTCCATATCCAGTTCTAACTGTAGCTTCTTGTCCCACATAGAGATTTCTCAGGAGACAGATGAGGTGATCAGGCACTCCCATTTCTTTAAGAACTTGCCATAGTTTGCTGTGGTCGACACAGTCAAAGGCTTTTGCATAGTCAAGGAAGCAGAAGAAGATGTCTTTCTGGAACTCTGAAGTGTAAGATAGGTTAGGCAAAGAGATTGTGACTAGCCCATGGTCACCTAGTGAGCTTCATGGCCAAGTGGAGATTCATACTCTGGTCTCCTAGGTCCTAGTCCCACACCTTAACCATTACTCCAGCTGTCTCTCTGGTTGCAAAGGTGCCACCAGCAAGCGTTGTTCTGGTTGTTGTTTGTTGTTGTTGTTTAATCATTTAGTTGTGTCTGACTCTTGGTGACCCCCTGGACCAGAGCACGCCAGGCACTCCTGTCTCCCACTGCCTCCCGCAGTTTGGTCAAACTCATGTTAGTAGCAATCTGGGTGTTAGGTAGTATTTAATCTCACAGTGGATGTGCTTATGTTGATAAGAGTTGAAAAGAACATATTGTCAGGAACTGGGATGGAATGCTTGCTTCATGTTCTTTAAAAAAAATAAAATACTGCTTTTACTGAGGTCTAGACATTCATGCTGGGGGAAAAATAATAATATCGCCAGAGTAAGCTCTGTAGGCTCCAACATTTCATAGATGAAAACAGGGACGTTCTTGTATACTCTCAGTTTTCATACCAAGAATTTCCGCTTCCCAGAGGACCCGTTGCTGAAAGCTGTTCTCCACCTGCTGCACAAAGCATTCATTCAAGATGGTAATTTGCTTTTCTATATTGGCTTCCCTGTGTTAGTAAACTGACCAAAACAGATTCCCTCTTTTGTCTCATGCCACAGGAGGTCTTGCTATTCTTTAAACGTCACTGATTAGAGGTAGTTAATGTGAGCAGAACAGAAGGGAGACTCTTGTACCTATGAACATAGTGTTTTAAAAAGCACCCTCGACAGGCAAAGGAAAAATGGTGGTTAGCCGGAATGAATGTCTTCTCCATTATACCCAGAAGATGGTGCTCTACAACCGTTATGTGTGGCACTTGGATAGCCACCAAAATCTGTTTGTGGCTCAATTATGTTCTTGGAGTGGTGATCACAGGATAATGATGATAATAATAGAGCAGTTGGTGCTCCTGGGATTACTGTTTAGGTATGAAAACACACACCAACACACACTCAGCACAATCCAGTCAAAGCTAAACTCCATTGTTATACCCTCCAACATTTCTCTGGTAAAAAAAGGGACGTCTGGGCGGGTTCCAGTACATATAACAAACAAAATAAATCATTAAATATTTGAAAACTTCCCTGTACAGGGCTCTCGTCAGATGTCTTCTAAAGGTTGTATAGTTACTTACCTCCTTGGCTCGGGGGTCACATAACACCATACTCTCTGATGAAAATAGGGGTGTTCTATCCTACCCTCCTTTCTGATGAAAATAGGCATACCTTGAGGAAAAGTGGGACATTCTGAGATCAATCAGAAAAGAGGATGGCTTCTGTAAATCTGGGACTATCCCTGAATAATAGGGACACATGGAGGGTCTGCATTGTGCTCACACTTCCATGAAAGCAGATGGACATTAAAAAAGGGAAATGGAGGCAGATGGATTCACAACTACACCACCTGTTTCGGGGTCTAGAGAGGGTAGTGGCAGTCTAGCTGCAGGTGCTCTTGGAAGAAACTGACCAGGCTGGCCCATTTTAGTCTGATTTTGGGCCATTTTGGGACAGAATTGGCATTTGTTGCCCTGAATGGACGGTCTTCTTCAGGAGAGTGCCATGGGGAATGCAACCCTGCTGCTGTTGCTTGATCTCTCAGCAGCTTTCAACCGTGTTGACCCTCTGCACGAACCCTGTGCCATCCCCAAATCTTCTCCAGAGCATTGGGGGAACCCCACAGAACAGATTTAGCGGGTGGAGAATGCTTTGCTGTGCACAGAAAGAGAAATGTTTTGCTTTGTGCTACATTGAACAAAACCCAGTGGGATGAAGCTGGTTTTTAAAAGATAGCCTTAGAAGGGGGGAAAGCTCACTTGCACAACCCAGCCACAGCGCAATTGCTGAATATACTTTGGTCCTCTTCGTTTTCTCCTCCTGAACTGCTTTGTGCTCTGCTTCTACTCCTGTGCAGTCATTTTCTCGCCGCGCTGCCAACAAACCTCCCCTCCCTTTTGCCAACCCATGTTTTTGACCCCATCTCCTGAACTCCCCCTGCTGCCTTCAGAAAGTTGCCATGACAACATCCTGGGGGCTATAATTCGGCTGTGATAAATATGAGAAGAAGCTGCTCTGTTATTTTCTAATGGGGGGGGGGAAGAGAACCAATTTTAGGGGGAACAATTCTATTCCTTCTCAAACACCCTGTAAATCAGGCAACAGGTGAGTGGCCCAAATTCTGAGAAACCTTTGGCCAGCAGTTTGAGGACATGCAAATCGGTAGTGTTTCTTTGTCTCTTAACCGAAATATACACTTCCTAGATTCATGGGCTTTTAATTCAATTTTAAGATACTGCTCTAGGCATGACGATCGAGTTCTGACTTGTGCTAGAGAGGGAGCTCTGAGTGACCGCTGGCTTTCATATTTCCAAGGGGAGAGGGGTGCCTTGCTCCATTGTCCTAGCATGCCTCCATGCAAGAAGAAAAACGTTTTCCCTGGCAATAAACTACCGGTACTTTAGGTTCTCTCCGAACCACCATCTTAAAGCTGTCAGGATTGCAAACAGCACTTTAGCAGTGATATCTTTGCACCACCATTTCTGTTTAACATCCAGCCTGAGATCTCTGTGAAACTCAAGAACTAGCTCACTGCATTGTGACTTTCAGTGGAGCCTGATAGTTTGTGATGGATCGACATAAATTATAAACCCAGCTTTTTCGTCCAAGGAGCTCAAGGTGGTTCTCCACCTCC